TCAGTGCACACAATGCACAGATTAGTCATTTCAAATGCACCTGTACTGATAAAGTATGAATAAGCAAATTTACCTGAAAGTAAAGAGTGATTTACTAAAAAAATACTCTGATGCTTAATGATTTACTGATAAAATAAATGAGAAACGCATTTTTATAGACAAGTGGTGTTTGACTTGAAAAATAATTTTCTTTATCATAGCAAGGATGCTGGGGGGGGGGTACTTTGGTCCCCCCTTTCTTTTTACACTCCTTAAGTATTTTATTAATCAAGATATTAAATATTGATGAAGAATCTCCAGAATGCTTAATTTGTTGCAAATGAAATAAATAATCTGAGTTAAATGATGGTTTCCTTTAAAAACAATACAAATTCAAATGAAAAATATAGCATCATACACCTTTTCATTATTTTTATTAGGCATGAATCAGGACACAAATTATTTCAAATATAATCCATGTATAAAGTATTTTTATCTTCTATTTGTAACTAGGCACAAACTTTAAAAGAACTTGTCATTTCATAGGTAATTAGAGCTCTTATTTTTCAGTGACCTATTCACAAAAAATGTTTAAAAACAAGGATAAAAAAACAAAAAAAAACCTTTTACAAAGATACCTAGAATCATCCAATTAAATTTTAATTGCGAGTTCATATAGTGAGAGAATTGGAGGACATTGAAATAATGCAACAGCAGAAGTTACCTTTTAGTCTTTCTTTACTAAGTAAAGAAAGACTAAAAGGGAAGGAGAAATTGACCAAATGAAGTTTAATTTTGGATGAAGCAGTTGATTCAGAAATTTGGTACAATAATTGTTTTCATGGCTTGTAAAAAGTAATTTACATCTGAAAAACAAGTGATATGCAAATCGTAAAGAGAGAACTGCAATTTATATAAAAAGGAGGTGACAAAATGTCATACAGTACACTTTGTTGTCTTTTCTCATTGAGCTAAGAACCCAAAAAATAAATGAAGATCAACTTTTCACTGACCCACACGTGATAAAATAGCTAATTATGTACTCATTTTAAAAATAGCTATAAAAAAAAGAATTCAATAAAACACTTATGTTTCTTGAAATAGGATTAACAAATTATCCCATGAAATCCATTAACTTTTTAAAAATTGTTTAATCCATTAAGAAGTCCCTCTTCTTAGAGATTATATTTTCAACCCAACTCCACATACACTTTGTAGGTAAACAATTTTTTCAAACATGTAGGTGTCGTCTGTCGTGTTATTGTTTGTATATATACGCGATAAATTAACCAAACCTATCACTTTTTAAGTTTTTTTATACTGGCAAAAAAAATCATCACAATCAATTTAAATCCAGTGTGAATTGCTTACAGCAAAGTATTGTGCTCATTAGACATAAAGATCTAATTAGTTTGAAATTAAAACTAAAATAAAAACGCTTCAAGAAAGATTTTTCCTTTTTAAAAATGCATTTTTAAACCTTAGGTATCGCTTTTCTTGGGAGGTACCTACTTATATTGAATCCGCCCTTAGATTGTAAAAGTCATGCATTCGAGATAAAATAAAAATAATAAAAAATAAGTAACTTCAAATAATGGAAAAATGCATGCCAATATTTTTCTACATTATTCAAAGTTTGGCCAGCCTCGTTTCCAAATTCTGAAGTTTTGCATCAAATTCAAAATTGTTTTTCCAATGTTATCAGTAAATTTTTCTTCGCGGAAATCATTAAAAAAAAAAAAAAATATTAACCTTATAATTATTTTTATTTAATGAACTTTATAGGAAGAATTATTTTCAAAATAGTCCCAAATAATTTTAAATATTTTCAGCACGGCTTCTTCCATTTATTATTGATTTTTTTTTAATTCTATCGAATTATAGCAAACTAAACATGTATTTTTTTAAATCGAGTTTCACTTTGTCTATAATCAAATATTCAACATTTTGGATTTTATTTTTAACCCTTAAAATACCAGAAAAGTGTCTGTTTGACAGTAAGTGAAATAGAACCTTCTTAAAAAAAAAAAAAAAAAAAATAATACATGTTGATCTCTAGTGTCCATGAACACCTTTTATGACCTTGAAGACCAGTGGGAGAAAAAAAAACACCTTGTCTTTATCTTCTTAGACGTTGATAATTAAATATCAAATCCAGGTTCTCCCACAGATCCTTTTTTTTTTTTTTTTTTTTAATCCAAATTCACGGTATTTTGGGATAACACAACGTAAACACTAAAACAGCAGCTTTCGAAGTACTTGTTTCTTGGTATTTTTACGCTAAACAAGTGTCTAAATTTTTATGACCAAAATCATAATACAAGCTTAAAAATACATTTTTGGAAAAAAGAAAAGAGGAGTGGAACTTTAAGAGATTTTCTGTTAGTTACAAACATTTTGAGAGATCTTTTTACAATTTGAATTCAAAAGCATAGTTTCATTCACAAATTTTAATCTTTCATTTTAAAATTATATTTAAACTTAAATGTTTTAATTTTTTATGCTGATTTTGTTCTAGACTTTATGGATTTTCAGGACAAATGATATTTAATTAGTCAATTTTCTTATTTAGATAGGTCCATTAGTTTGAAGACCCCTGGTTTCGCTCCGCCTCAAACAAAAATATTGTTTGCTAACCGGAGACATTTAATCAGCACTTCCGGTTAGCAGACGGTATTTAAATCCTATTAAATTAACTTTCTTTTTTTTTTTTAAATAAAAGATGAAAATTAAAACTTACAGATTTGGATTTTTTTTGTACACGTGTTTGAAGCAAGTCATGACGTTTTGGTTTATTTTATGCATTAATTTAAGACGTAAAATAGAATATAAATTTTTAAAAAATAATTACTATTTAATTTAAATAGTAATTATTTTTAAAATTTTTATAATTTAAATGAAAATTGAAAGTGCACCTCATTGTGAATTTTTTCCCCGACAATAAAATTTGTACCGACGTCCTCAACTTTTATCAATAGGGTGTCGAGTTGACCTACTTCGGTTATCCAAAGTTTGACCCAAGAAGGCTTTCCACCCCATTTCAAGATTTGTTTGCAAATAAAACGGTAGACAGTTACTCGCATTAAAAATCCATGTTGCAACTTAACAGCACTTTATTTTTTAAGATTTTCTAGAACCTTAGGTTCTAGAAAACCCTTTTATTTTCTAAAAAAAGTAAAATCGGTTAATTCCGAATTCAATTATTAATTGACAAGGACCAGAGGTGAATTGCCAATAAAAATAGCAAGAAATCTTACTCTTATAAAAAAAAAAATTATTACAGTAAACGAGAATTAAAAAAAATACTGAGGAAAGGAACAAAAAATAAATAAAATACACTCAGTTTGAAAAACTTCAAGAAATTAGGGGAAATCTTAAAATATCTTTAAGCAGAAGCTGTAAAAACGAATACAAACTATAAGGAACATTTCAGGAATACGAAACCCGAGAACAATGGATTTTTAGAAAAAGAAATAGACAAACTGTATTGCACACGAATTAGACATTTATTTACCACATGTGGCTCGTCGCGCGTTTTACAAGCAAGTAATCTTTGCTTTGGTTTAAATTTTAAGCTTTAAAAAAGTTAAGTTTAACGAACTTTTTATGAAACCAAAACCGTAAAAGAGAAACTAGAAAAATAAGTCACGTACTTAAGAAAAAAAATACCACTCCCAAAGTTGTATTTTTTAAAGCTAAAATTTGATTTCACAATTTTCACATTTTCTTAAGTATTTTTCAGAAATAAGATTTTTCTCTCTAAGGAAAAATAAATAAAAATGATAAAACTCATTATTGTTTGTCCCCCCCCCCACCAACCCTGTTCAGTGGTTATTCATCCATGCGTTTTTACATTCATTCAAAGTTAGTCTATTTTTTATGTCAAATTGCTAATTTGACAACGGGAAAAGAACTCAGAAAAGAGACAAAAAGACCAATTTATTTATCCTCTTTGCTATTTTGAGGATTTATCGATCTATGCAAGACGGTTGGCTTTATTATAAATTTCATTTCCAGCATCCCAAATATTTCTTTCTCATCCCAAGTCATTGTTTCGTTTTATGATAAAACTAAAAGTGCGCATATGCATATTATTGCACGGCTTTTAAGACAGAGCATTAAGAAAAATCGCCAGTACGTAAAAAAAAAAAAAAAAAAAAAGGTGATACCAATTGATGTGACAAAAAAGTCACATGCTGTTTTTTTAATCGTATGATTTTGATTTCTCAGACCACTACTGTTAAGTGTAATTGTAACAATGTTTGAAAAATAAGAAAAAATAAAAGACGAACTCTTACTTAATATTTATAGTAGTGAAAATAAACTAAGAATAATAATCCCCTACCAGATTTCATTCTAAAACACAGAAATTTTCAGTTTTAAATGCAAACCAATATCAATACAGCCATTTTTGTTTTGTTTTTTTTGTTTTTTTATTATTCTGGTTTTCTTGTTTTAGGAAGAAAAAAATAGAGCCTGTATGGTGGGAAAACATTTTTTGAAAATAGAAATTAGATTTGGAAAAATTCATCGAAAAAAAAAAAAATTTAACAAATAGAAAATTGAAAATTAACATAAAAACAGGTTTTTATGTTTCTAAACTTTAAAAATGTTTTGAGTTCAAATTGACAGACAAACATGCATTTTAAAAAAGATAAAAGCACACATTTTGACTATTAGATTTCATTCACCATGTGAAACATCATTACAAAGAATTGGCAATAATGTGAAAAGGAGAATGAAAGAAAGGATTGATTAGTGCCTTGGCCATAAAATGAGAGGCCAATTTACAAAAGCACAAGATTTAAAATTTATTATCAACAATAAAAGCAGAGGGAATCAAAATTTCCAGAGACGTGAGATAAGCCAGTTATTATCCGGTTATTGTATATGCATAACGATTTTGAAAAAGATAGAAATGGTCAATAAGATATCTATAAACTACCAATAAATCAACCCCCATGTTTTAAAAAGCACAAACCATCACTAAATAAATGAAGTTCATTTGCTACCATACGTACCTGGTCTGGCTTTCAACTTTGCTTCCTTAATTCTTTTCTTTGCTCTATGATCCATACAGTGAAATCAAAACAGTGAACAGGATCTTTGACTCCCAGAATTAAAGAACTTGTTTTTTCTTCTCTTATTTTAAATATAATTGTTTCCTAAGTTTGGTGTTAAAGGAGTTTAATACATAATCATAAACTAAAGAAAAAAGATGTAACTTGGTAGAACGGATGTAACCGCCATGCAGTTTGCCCGATTCTACCTCAACTTAGAAGAGCTCGTTACTTTGTGCTACTTCCGGTTTAAACTCGTACAAAAAAGCGCGAAGAAGCACGTTGTCTTTCTTTATGGTTTGGTTTGACCTCAAACAAAGGTCAGTTTGGCCAAAGCAAGAAGAGACATTCTCAGCGTAATCATTATTGCCGGAAATAAAATTACAGAATATTCTGTATTTGTCAAGTCGTTTCAATTTTCTCATTTTTAATATAGAAGAATATATAATCCTAGATATTTTATAAAGAATCAGTATTTATTTTTTTTTGCAACAGTTTTTTTTTAACTCTAGTTTGAATTCCATCAACTCAAAACTTTGAATGGGATTTTAAGCTTCTAAAAGTTATAATTTTAACTCCTGAATAAGAAATAAAAAGTTTAATTAATAAATAATCCTAATTATATTTGGGTAATTAAATGGGGATGATAAATCCATACTTATATTGTTGAAGAGACACTAACATTTACACCAGTGTTTAGATGCACAAATATCTTTGTATAATTACTGTTATAAATAAATTTGAGCAAACAACCCTGAATAGAACACCCACTATATGGCAGAATGTAGGACTATAAAATGCAAGACTCATTCTCTCGTTTGCTCAGTGATACAGAGATAACATCAGGACTTGTCTCTGCTGGGAGAAATTTCTTTCCACTGGTAAACCAACTAGTTAATTTCAAACAAACCATATAGACATTGTGTGCACACACTGTGGCTAAGTACCTAAATCTTTTCCACAATGTTTAACTTTTGTACCCACAAAAAACAGTTTGTCAAAAGGAGGGTTATTCTTTTGATACCGCCATTACTGTATACGCTTTTGACTCCTTCAGTAATGTTTATTTACAAGAATGTAAAAATATGTGAACCAAATACAATGCGATATTTCTCATTTATCTTTTATAAAGATTTATTATTCTATAAAGAAATAAATTTGAAAAGAAATCTTTTTATTCAAAAATTTATAAAAAAAATACTAAATTATCAAAATATGTAAACTAACTATAATGCAACACAATTTACCATAATAAATAACTATGAAAAATCTGTCTATATTTCTGAGATGAGGTATATTTATTACAAGGACTCATGGAACAGTGGATAAAGGCATTGGTTAGATCCAGTGACAGGAAAGAGTGTGAGTTCAATACCTGGTTAAGGCAGTGGAGAACTTGGAGAGGGGAATTAACAGGAGATAACTGATAATAGACATCCATTAAACATGGCATGTGGAACTAGAACAGTCTACCATAGTGAGCAAAATAAAGGGGTTCAGTTCGACATTCTAACCACCTGAAGAAGGCCAGAGCATACAACGGCCAAAATGTTGTAATAAATATGGCAACAAAGATGAGGATAATAGTCCAAATAGTGTATGAAAACAAATGTTTTTATTTATAATTTTATAAAAATATCAATTAGCTATTGTTGTTAATTCTCAAGAATAAAGAAAATATATAAATCCACTTTATGTTTTGGTTTTATTAAAATTCTAATCAGTGGTTTTTACAACAATAAACATTGCCAAGGTAGTCAAAGTGTATCAAGTAATAGTAGTGTCAATTCATTTACCTTGAAAGATTTCCACCTCAGCTCTATCAAGTAGTATTGCCTTCCATTACAAACCAGTGACCAACAGCAACCTCAACAATTAAAACCTGTAGTATCTATTCACTTCTCCTTATTTCTGCAAATAAAAAATAACTCATTTCATGTAAAAGGCATTCAATCCAATCAAAAAAAAGAACAAAACATTCTAACAAATGAAATTGTTTTTGATAGATTAAGACAAGCAAACAAAGCATAAAGTTAATTCAATACAACTGAATTTTTCAATATCAGACTGGAAAAATACCTTTTAAAAATTGGTAATCTTGGATCTTTGTGCTTGCAAAAAAATGGTATATCAAAAAAAATGGTGTACAGGTTTTCCATTGACACCATTATTATTTAACTATCTTTACGTCTCAGCAATGTTATTGTTTGAAAAAGTGATGATTAGAATTTTAATAAAACTTAAACATGATTTTCTTTGTTCTTCAGAATTGACAATAAAAATAATAAAAACTATTTATTAGATTGTTTATTTACAAATTTATTGGAATGGCTGTCAAAACATCGGCTTATTGCCAATCAATTCAAACTTTATAAAATAGTAAATAATAAAGATTCCCTTACAGTTGGTTCACATATTTTAGTAATTTAGTAAATGTTTATAAATTTCTGAATAAAAAATTGTTTTCATATTTATTTCTTTATAAATTGTTCAATGACAAACATTTATTTGCATTGGTTTTAAAACAATTGTATTAGTTTTTAGAATGTAAATATCAAATTATTCTTGTAAAAAAAAAATCTAATAAATAGTGTTTAATATTTTTGTTGTATATTCCCAAGAACAACTTTCTTCATAAATCTACTAAAAGTTAATTGATTCATGGAAAAACTCCTATTTTTGTAAAATATTTCCATTTGATAAGACATATTCAATGGGAAATATAGAAATTTATTTAAAAAAAATAGAAATTTATTTAATAAGATTTAGGAATCATATTTTCATATTTGCCATTTCTTTTTCCTTGAATTAAACTATATTAATGAATGTGAGTTTTGATTAAATAATTTATGACAATCATTAAAACAAAAAACAATTAAAAAAATTAAATTAATTTTTGATGAATAATTTGAACAATCAATTATAATGGATGAAATTTCTCACAAAAAGATTTACCTGCCTGATTAATTTTAAGCACTCATTGAAAGTCAAAGTTAAAAGGAAGAATTTTTTCAACAAACATTTTAGAAAGTAAATAATAAGGAAAATGCTATAAAACTAAATATCCGATTCTATATGTAGCTTAAATATCACTTTAATAAAATCAGTTATTCCAGATTAGATATTTGTATTGAAGGGGGTCAGAAAAAAGTTCCTAAGAACTGCTTATATCTAAACAAACAAAACAACCAAAAGCAAATAGAATAAATATTAATATAGTATAGTGGGTTATCAGATATAGTGAAGTGTACTGGTGTTGAAACAGATTAGTTTGATTTAGCCTTGTTAGTTAGATAGCCCATCATAAGAGGGGTATAAAACAAAAAAATCAAATCGTAAAGTGAAACAACAAATTTATATACATATAAATCAATTAAGGTCTCTACAAATAAAATTAATGTATTTTGGTTGATACATGGTCGTCAAAATGTTCGTAGTAGTCCTTGTTTCTTGTACACTTCACTATATCTGATAACCCACTATACTATATTAATATTTATTCTATTTGCTTTTGGTTGTTTTGTTTGTTTAGATATAAGCAGTTCTTAGGAACTTTTTCTGACCCCCTTCAATACAAATATCTAATCTGGAATAGCTGATTTTATTAAAGTGATATTTAAGCTAACTGCAAGGAACAATTTCATGGAATGGACATATGAAGTGCTAACATGTGCACTGGGTCATATTTCATTAGAAAAATACAAAAAACGTAAATAACAGAATTATTCATTTTGTTTCAATTATTTTTCACAAGGGTGTACATGATCATAATAAGAATACAATGACAAAATCCATATACAGTTATTTATTCAGGAAACTCTGAATTTAAACTTCTGCTGTCTTGTGCCTTGAAAGGCTCCAGGAGTAAACAATGAGGACAAATCTGGAGTCGGAGTCCCTAAGACAGTTCGATGTTATGTTCAACTTTATTCTGGCAACTCCTGCAATGATGCCGATGATAAGCTATATTGTACTCTACCTTTCCCTTGGACAACATTGGTGATGTGGAGAGAGGAGACATGCTACATAGGTAACCTCCAATCTCTATAATAAAACCCTGCCCAGGTCTGTACCCTGGAGAGGACATGCCAGCATCAGCTCACTGCAATGGCAAAACACATTTAACCCATAGCTTGGAGCCAATAAACACTATGCTCACACACTTCCATACATCCTAAAATCAGTATTTAAATGTACTGATTTGGAGAAGTGTGTCAGGCAAAGATCTTTTCAGCACCTCCTCATAAACAGTGTGTGAGAAAGTTTCTGACCCTTAGATGAAAATGTCATAGTTTCAACTCAGTGATGATAGCAGTTCAATAAATTTATGAGGAGGTGCTGAAAAGTTCTTTGCCTGACTCACTTCCCCAAACCAGTATTTTAATGACCAAACATTTAAATACTGATTTTGGGATGTATAGATGCATGTAGAGTATAGTGATTATTATCCCCCACTTATGGGTTAAATATGGTTCAGCTTTAAGTAACTGACAAAGGATTGATAAGCCATAAAAAATCAATCAATCAATTGGGATTATTAGCACAGTGGAATCAGTGTGACAAGTTCAATTTTTATCAAGTTTGTAATGTTCATTTTTGCACAAATACTCTTGGCAAAGGTGTGAATCCACCTATTCTCTACCCAGCTATGGGTTAAATAGCAGTGTAGACTGGTTCTGTAGTAATGATTGGTAACCAGTCTAGGATAAGGACTGCTCTAAATTCTAAACCAGTTGGGTGTCAAGCTAGCTCCACCACCCTGTAAAAACCTACTTGTTATGGAAATGACGAGTAGTGAGGCTGTGGCTCTATTTTGCACCGGGGATTAATGGCAGTAAGAAAGACGAAGATGGTGATTTAAGAAGTGGGTTAGGTTGAAAACTTTTCAGCACCTCCTTGAACTGTGATCATTCATATACTTGCAAAATTTCTAATGTCAATGTAGTAAATGTATAATGGGGATATTTACTAGGCTCAGCCAACTCAAGCAAAAGCTGTTAGCATGGATACAATCTT